GTGAGCAACCTTTATTTCCTTTCCGCACTCTCACCGTGTGGTGTAGGTGTAATGTCTCCTATTTAGATGCAATTCGAGGCTTGGCGTGGGCGCACTGCAACTTAGCTATCCAGAGAAAAAGGAGTGGGGGGGGGGGGGCCTCAAGAATAGCCTCAAAGAGCCATGACTGCAGCAAACGGGCAGTAACACCAATCACTTGAGCAATGAGCAATTATTGTGTGTGGATGGGTGGAACGCAGAGGGCTTTGACTGGTCCTGAGAAGAGAAAATACAAACAAGCAGCAGAAGTTTCAAAAGTTTTTTGCTGTTGCTTTATGAGCTTTGGTTCAAGGATTATGTGTCTTCGAGGACTACTTCTTCCTTCAAGATCTCAGGAACAATAACGGATCCATAAAGCTCCTCCTGGGGCGTCATAACGGTTAAAATCTTATAATGTAGTAATTCCCCTGAAACCAACATGCTTTTTATGCTTTTAACCGTCTTTTTAAAAGAAAAATGCACAAAAAAAAAAAAAAACATCTGCTTAAAGCTATCTGAGTTCAGTGCTGGCCTAGTTATGTCCCACTATTTTAAGCAACCAAGTATTAAAAACAGAGAACAATGTGATTTTTGAGTGGCAGCCCTCTTGCATGAAAGAGTCGCATCTGTCCAAAGTGCTGCTGAAGAGGATGGCAGCCGAGTCGGTGGACTGTTGATAATGAGCAGCCCTTGACTAGAGGAGAGAGAGAGAGAGAGAGAGAGAGAGAGAGAGAGAGAGAGGAATTAAGAGGGTTTTATGATGTTACAGTCTCGCATTAATGCCACATCTGTAATTCCATCGTCCATCCATTAGTAGTTTTGTGCGTCTGATTTGAAATGCTGCTGCAGGCCATCAAAGTTTCAGCAAATGCAAGTCTTCATTGAGCAGTCCGGCCTCCTGAGTGTTTTAAAAACCATAAAATGGGTTTAAGATTGTGTCGTTCCAAATCAAACCGTTCATGAATTCTTTCTGTGGTTTAAAAGGGTCTCACAACAACATCACACTTTATTTACGTTTAGTGAGCAGACGAGGTTCACATTGTATCTAAAATCGGAGGTTGGTTTTATTAGGCAACACCATATATCATGCAAACTTTTAAAGAACTGCAGCTTTAATTATTAAAAACATTTTTATTAAGCCAACATGTTAAACTAAAATTGAAAATTTCCATTAAAATGAAAACACTGAATAATGTACTGCACAGATTGTCTCCACTGTTGCATTATAATGATGCTGCCCTTTGAAGCAATAAATTCTGCACAAAAGCTGATAAAAAATACAAATGGGAGTAATTTCTTATTTTTTGCAGTAAAAAGCTGCAGACAAAGATTCTGTTGTTTGTTTAGTATTAAAATCTCTTTTAGCACAGGTTTCTTTAAGATGTTGGGATAGTTTTACGTTTTGAAAAGATGGTTGTTAAATTAGTAATTCGATTTTTCTTGAAGTGTCATTGATTTTATTATTCAAATAAAAATTATATATTGTGACTGAAGGTCTGATGAAAAATGTATTATCTGAAAAGGAAACTCTGAYGTTAGCCTTGATTTTTAGCTTTTAGCAACTTCCTTTTCACAATAAATCCCATCCTCTGTGGGGCTCCAAAAGAGAGGTTTAAACAAGAGAGAGAACCACAGAAACTGTGTTTTTACTCAATCCTTCAGTAAAAACATCTGCCTGGTTCTGATAGGGATAATGTCCCACTTGTCTTGTTTTTAAGATTTAAACAATATCAGCAGGGAATGGGTTTAAACAGCTCAAAATGACTTCAAGTGCAGTCTTCCTCAACATCCACGCTCTTTGATGTTATTAGGATGGATTCAGACATTCCCTCAGCAGCACATTAGAAAAGCAGTTCTTTTGGTTTCGCTGACTATCAAAAGTTTTATAAGTGCAAAATGAAAAGAAGACTAAAATGTGCTTTTGTCCGACTTTAACCAGATAAATTAAATCTTTGCTGTCAAGAAGAGCATCTACTACGATACCTTAAATTTTTTTTTACCATTTTTGCAAATGTTTGCTTTGAATGCAGTCGTTTGTCCAGTCGGCTACATAATGACAGACGAATGTGGCCCAGTTAACTGCAAGAAAGATCAGATTAGGCCTCACCGCTGTGAGTCACTTTGACATCACAAAAAATAACACTCACCAGCTTTCTATCAGAAGTGGAGAAAAAAAATGAATCACCGAGTAGCTTTCAGCAACAAAAAAATAAAAAAAAATGCTTTCAAACAGACACTAAAGCTTAAAGCTGTTGTCTGCAGTTCACAGGGAGAAAGTCAGGCTTTGTGTCTAAGAAGAAAAAAAGAGCTCAAAATCCATTTCAAAGACGAAGGAAGACACTGGCACAAAAAGAGAAAGTAATGAATATTTTACAGGCACAGAGAGCAAAGCTGCTCTGCAGGTGATGCTCTGGTGTTTATGGAGCTTATCTGAAAGCCATCACCCACCGAGCGTGGCCAAGGCAAACCATGTGTCTGATTGTTTATCAGCACACTGCTGGTGGCTTCCCCCTGGTACCTGCGCCCAGCTTGCATCAGGCCAATCACAGTGACAGCGTGCTGYAACATAAATGGTCATTTTGGATTAAAATGAGTGCCGCTCAGCTTTCACTCTGATGTTTTGAGGTACGGGAGGATGATATATGCTCATAATGTGGGTTTGGCTGATGCAGATTTTGTGAAGCCTCAAATTGGAAAGTTTGGGAAACTTCCTTAATTTACTAACAAATATTCCTGTAGGTGTATTTGAGCTTTAAAATTTCACTTTTCCTCAACTTTGCCTGACATCATGTTCTATAGAAGTACACTCTTTGACTTGAGTCTTTATTGATAATAAATGTTTCATTTAAACACAAGAGTCAATCTGCCTTTAGGCTTTAACTGATGTCCTGTAGCTTTATTGGGGAGTTTCTCTGTAAAGCATGAGCTGCCACTGGGCCATTGACTGAATGCACTTTGTCGGCTTCATTTTACAGCATAGCAGGGGTCTTAAGAAGCCAAAGCCTTTTGCTTTTACAAAGGTGAAACTATAGCTTATTACTGTTCCTTTGGTGCACAATTTATTTAAAAGTACACACAATATGCTTTTTATTCCTTAAGCATAATGATTGTTTCTTGTCTCAAAAATATCAACTAATCGTTAGGTCAAATATAACCACATTTTAAAAATAGGCAAGTGGAACTTCAAAGGACTGGGCATGCTGGTTTAAAGTTTTTGTCACAATAATGCTAGGCAAGAATCTATAACTATGCYGATGATGAATAACAATTTTTAAAATTTTGTCCAACTCTTCTTATCTTTACTTCACAGTTGAACTAAATCATAAATGTGGGGGCAGCTGCAAAGTGGGGTACAAAAGTGAGGTTAGGAGGGTGTGATGTGGGCAATTAAATGTGCATAGCCTACAATTGCCAGACATGCACATAAAAATAGACTGACATTTCAAAAGCTGGTCATACTAAACACACCTATTTGACTTGCTGGTCACAATACACATTATAGAGAGAGGCTGCATTAAAAAATGCAATTTCCCCCTCTATTTTTCCACTGTGTGATATGCAAACTAGTCTCAAATAGTGAGAGACTACGTTAAAGGTTTGAAAAATAGTGTTTGAATGAAACAGCTTTGAACATTTTGAGACTGGAGTTGTTTTAAGACACTTCGGTTTCAGATTAGCATCGATCCAAACATAAATGAGGTGATTCAAGGAGCTATGTGCAACAGGTAAGATACTGTTGAAAAACCTTAACGGATATTAGTTCAAAAGAGCTGAACAATTTGCTGAAGTTACAGTTACAGTCTTCAAAGACCATTAATTTAAATCTCTTCCATGTTTTTTTCCCACTGGTAAACAGGTGAGCGCTGGTTTGWATGAAAGGTTTTTTATTTGTAAACCTCCTTTGGATCTTGCTTGTTTTGTCCCTGGGAGCATTAAAAAAAGGAAAACTGAATGAACATCTTCTGTTCATGCCAACATATGAAAGAAGAGAAGTAGAACTGACATCATGTCCCTACAGCTTGTGTGCCCGGCTCATGAGCGAAGCAGTCCTTGAACAAGGACAGTTTTTGATTTGGCGTGCGTCTTCCTCTGTGTGCGTTYGAACGCTCTCGCTGCTCAAGGTGCCTGCCAATTGAACGACTTTTCTGGGAGGGATTAGCAGCACGGTGATCTCTTCATGAAACACGTCTGAAGCTTTGGAGAGAAAAAAAAAGGGGAGAAAAAAAACTCCTGACATAGGCAGAGTCTGAGCTAAGACTTTTTTACATGTTCTTGCATCATCATCACACTTTTAATTGAGCTTCCCCTGCCTCTTCCTGACTTCTAACCAACGTCTTCCTCCTTTGCCGTTCATCTTCCTGAGTAATCTTCTCCTCTTCATCGTTGTAAAGGACAGTAAAAATACATTCACAGAAACTGATTAGCATTCCATCCCCTCTTGGTTTTCTGAAAGAATCAATGAACACAACACAAGCAGAGAAGAGGAGCATGTAGAAATCAATCAAAGTGAGAAATGAACTCACTCTGGTTTTCATAAACTCCAAACAAAAGGTGAAGAAAAGCGTCTAGAAATGGAGGAGCAAGGGGAGCCCAGAGGACATGGCAGGGCTCCACCTATATCGCCGATCAGTGAGGAAAAGCCGGGGGTGTCGCAGCAGGACAGACTTGACTCTGATCAATATTTCATGTCTTACCTAAAGCTGTGGAACAAGTCATATTTTCACCGTCTGCCGTCATAACACTGAAATATTGTTCTCTGCAACTGAAGCCAGTCAGTAAAAAGTGTCAAAGAAATGTGAGTWATAAAATAAAAAWAAKAAAACAAGGACGTTTCAGAGGAGACATCTGCAGCTGAACTTGATTTAACTGGATTCCTCACTTTGAATTTCAAATCCACTGATTCTTTGAAAGCATCAGCCATCTGCGTGTCGAGAGGACATCCTTGAATTTGTGTGAGCAACAGACACGAGGGAAAAAACAAGTAAGTTTTGTAGTATTTATTTATAAGAAAATAATATGACAATAATATGAACATAAAACATGTTTTGAACTGCATTAGGAGGGCCTCTGTTAGTTGTGACAATAATAATGGCTAAATAAAAAGAAATATTTAGATTTTTGTCAATTTGATAAATTAGTATTTGTCATGCTAAATGACTAAAAGATTAGCCAGAATCAAAGAGACAGMTCAGATCTTTTTGAAGTGGAGTTATGTGGAAAGGTTATAAACAGTTAATATCTTACCTGCTGGAGATAGCTCTTTGACCAGACTGGTGAGTTAAAATCTAAAATACGTTTCTGCCATTTTAACTATGATTGGTACACAATACAAACTTTATTTCACACTGCTWCTAGAAAAATAATGATACAGTGCCATAGCTTGCTGCTCCTGCCAACATTTGATTTTAYATAAAGCCACAGAATCCCATGTAAATGAACACACAGGACCAGCAGCAATGCTGAGCTTGGCTCATGTGGACTAGCCGTTAGCTTAATGCTAACTGGACCAATGATCAAAAAACTGAAGTTGCTCAAAGAGCAATCCACAGCAGGTAAGATAATAACTGTTCAACAATTCCCACGGAGCCCCACTTTAAAAGATCAAATTCATCACTTTGGAAAAACTGCAGCAACAGATATGTGAGTTTTTAGTTGYAGTTTTGCAGAAAAAAACATCAAAGAAACAAAAAATAAATGCTGCAGCCCAGTTTAATATGAGGCTGTCAAATTTCTTGCTATACCTGCTACAACATAACAACAACAAACATCCCATCTCACACTGTAACATACCCTTTAAAAAGGTGCAATAAGTGATCGTTTCTCATCAATATAAACTGTGACACACTAGTCTAACAAGCTTCTTTCCAAGTCTACTCTTTTATTCATCTGAAAACAATTCTACTCTCCTAATAGCCCCCAGATAGAGAATTACAAAGTRGTTGTGTTTTAATATAGGGTAATATGAATAAATTACTAGTTCATCTACGTTTCACTTGCATGATAAGGTCCCTCCTACTTTTGTTGTGTTCTTTGTGAAATTCTTGGCCGCTCGACGCCTCATTTTAACCCTAAGCCGTTCTGTAGCTCAGTTAGACTCGAACTCAAAAATGGCGCTCAGAAGAACTTTTATTTATTTTTTTTGAGACGCCTTGGTCTGAAGTGGCAGGTACAGTTMAGGAATGTGCTTCCGTGTAACCTTTTGATTGTCAAACACTGACCTACMCGCCGCCTGTGGTGGTGTCAGTAAAGTGCAGACAAACCGTGGCGCACCCACCCCTCCCTCGTCCCCGGCAATCTTTTTTTTTCTCCCCTTCGTTAAAAGCAGGAGCATCCCTGCAGCTCGGAGAGGAGCCATTAACAGGTTAAAAGGCTGACGTGCTCGAGGCCCATGAGAGGTAGCTGGCCTTGTAGTCATTATGCTGAAGTGTGAGAATTAGTAATGTGTGTGGGTGGAGCAGGCTGACCGGAGAACAGGCGTGCTTATCTGCCACTTGAAGGCTGAAATAGACTGAAGTCTGACAAGCTGACAGCTAAAGRTCGCCCAGAATTACCTCACTGCTAATTATCGTCATTAACACATATCTTTGCTCATACACAATTTCATTTCAATGCAGAGTCTCAGAAAAAAAGACTATCTTTTTTTCTTACTACCCTTTGAAGTGTTCCTATTCTATTCTTTTGAAACATACTGAATAACCAGATAAAGAAGGTCTTTTTTTTTTTGTCTGCCGTGCATGTACTTGGTATTCCGGTGCGTCCTCCTTGATTCCAGTAAGYTTCAGAAATGAATTCCATGCAGGGAAATTGGACAGGGGGAGAAGTTGTGTGAAAATGTGTTCGTACGATCCTCGGACTCCTGCAGGAAAACAAATTCATCCTGAATCAAACCCTCCAAAGCCCCGTGGAAGCAACAGATTGGGTTTTGCTCCCGAATGGGTCCRTGTAGAAATAAATCCTGCAGGGTCGGTCTTTGTTGTAGGACTCTGCTCTGTGGAACGTCTTCAGTTCGTTACACAGTYGTTTCGATCTTTTCGATGATCTCTATCATAGACTTAGACGGGGAGAGGAGTGAACAGTTGTCCTGATCCCAGAGGCTCCTCGGACTCAAGTTTTCGTCCGTGCTCAACTCGTCCTCATCCTCGTCCTCACTTCCCTCCTCACAGGACTCCAGGTAGTGCAGACCCAGCGCGTTAATGCCGGAGTCCTCCGAGCTGGACGGGGAGGAGCAGTGGTCCATTTTGGGGCCTTTTAGCTTTTCAACCGTGGAGAGATGTTTCTGTTCGCTGTGGACCTGCTGCACGGGAGCCGGAGCGTGCTGGACCGCCGGCGGCGGAGCGCTGACCGGCTGCTGAGGTGGATCAGGATTCAGGGGTATTTGAGGCGTAGCCGGAGAAGGGGGTTGAGGGATGGGAGGCTGAGGCGGTTCCGGTAAGGGAGGCGGGGGGCGCTGCACGTAGCACATCTTCCCGTTGATCCTTTTGACGATGTAGTCGTCCAGGAACAGGTCCGCGATGACGCAGTATTTGGGTGACTCTAGATGAGGCGGGGACTGGAAGCTGGGCGCCAGCTTCAGGAAGCGCTCGGCCAGAGAGACGGACAGGTCCATGGTGCTGCTGCACTCTGAGCCCACCGGCGGCACAGCTGTACTGGGCAGCTGGCACACATTGGTCATGGGCTGGTACACGTACTTGCCTAAAAGGGAGTAAAAAAATTAACATTACTTATTACATCATTTTTCATATTTATTCATCTATAATGGACAGATTTCAACATGGTCACCACAGCTAAGCAACCTTAAAAAACACAAATACGGTGATCAATCACTTTTACAGATTTTGAGCTGAAGTTGGTTTGTTAGCAGTTGAAACTCCTGTCAGCGAATTGAGTCAACTCCATGTGTCTGTTAGCAAAATATCTCAATGAACAAGTAAATGGATTTTAAAAGAATCCCTGATTACTTATAACATTAGACTTTATTTAATAAACATATATTTTAACTGTAAAATGAAGACTGTAAAAATACTGTAGAATGTTTAGTTTTTATAATTTTTAAACTAAAATTTGAAAATATATTACACGGACGGGGCCATTTTATTTACATGCAAAGCATTCTGGGTAAATGATGACGTGRATAGGTCCTCGGTGMGAGGCTGCTAGCGAGCTATATCCACCCTGAAGGTTAATCTTGGACAATATCTGATGATCGACTCTTTTAAATGAAACCAGAGAGCGTTGACAGAGAGGAGAAGGTAGAAATGACTCAGCCTGGAACTGAAAATATGGATGGAGGACCTCCGGTTAGCTTGTTTGTCACACTAGCGCCAAGCTAATACATAAGGCAATTTACCGTCAGTCGTGATTTTGAGCTTAATATGAATGTAACGTCTTTCTTTGTCATCATGAAAAGATTTTGGTTTATGAAAGATGTGAGGATGAGATATGCCATTCTTTCAAGAAATGCTATACCTTTATTTTATTACTTATAAATAAACAAATCAAGTGTATGTTTTTTAAATCTTACATCAATTTATCATGTTGTTGATTTGATTACTGGTGACCAGTACTCGTAAGATATAGAAGCTAAATAACGCAAAGTTAAAAAGCAAGTTAGAAATAAATTTGGTTGATTCCTGTTTCAATGTAAATGCTAATAAAAATCCCAAAGATACATCTTTGCAAGTTCTCAGGAAACCCTCTGGTTTTAAGAAGCAATTCTTCAACCTCTCTCAAAAGGTTGCCGTGGGGCCGAATGTAGAASAAAACAAAGTTGGAAACTAACAGACTTGGAGGCGTCTGGCAGCTGACGGGCCAAACATTTTCCACAGCAGCAGGTAAAAAAAAAAACGACTCAGGGTTAAAAAGCAGAGCACATGAGCAGCTCTGTGGCTTAGAGGTTAGCGCTGTCACGTCACATCAAGAGGACCCAGATCCAAGCGGGTTTCCTCTGGGAGCTCCGGTTTCTCCCAACATCAAAAACATGCTCGGTTATTTCTCCTGCCTGCGACAAAGTGCCCTTGACCAACACAACACCATAGTGCTGCAGATCACAGACCTGCTGGAGCTGCACTGCTTCTCGTGTACGATGGGCTGAAAGCACTGAACACGTTTCTCTATAAGGGTCCAGAAGAATAAACAAAGACACACGTTAACTTCAACCTGATACCGGACAAACAGCAAGCATTTGAGCCGTCTYTCCTGCAGCAGATGTTTATTCTGAAGCTGTACTTTTCACAATTTACCCAACTGAGGAATAAGTCTCAATAAAAGCATTTGAAAGTATTTCTGATAAAAAGGGCAATAAAAACGTCTCTGCCTGAATAATATTTATGCCACACTTGGCCTTGACGTCGTGGGTTGCCGAGAGAGCAAATATAATAATAGTCCAAATATAAACCTGTTTCGAGACATGCTTTCAGAYACTTTTCTGATTCACCCATCTGCAATAACCAACAATCTGTCCTTCCTTTTGGTCAGTGGCATTTTTCACATCACAAATCACTCTCTGCCTCCAACATTTCCTTTTGTGCCACCAACATTTCAGAGCATTCTGAGTAAGGAAGTGATCATCTTGATGCCTGAAACTACGCTCATTTTACACATGTATGAATTGGAATCAAATCAGTTCTGCTTACTTAAAGTGAGGTTCTGAAGAAAGGTTAAGTGTTTTAATATCTTACCTGATGCAGATAGCTCTTAGAATGACCTCAGACTGGATAAAAATGTTGACCAGATTAAATAACTAATAATTACTATGAATGCGACCAGTTCTAACCCAGTTGTTTTTCTTTAGCAAAGACAAAAATATTGCTTTGGAAAAACATGTTGGAAAAAAAAGTGTTTCTTTGATTAAAGCAGGTAAGATATTAATTACAACTTTTTTACAGAATCTGAACCTCACTTCAAAATATTTCAACTATAATTTTAAGAGTTCATAGCTATTTTATTTATTTTAAATTATCAAGGAATCCCAATGGCTACAGTATAATGTATTATTTGCATAGAGGTGTATAATAACGACACACATTTACTTTGTTACAATACTTAAGTGTTTTTTTTTTTTGAGGATCTATTACCAAGTACTTTTAAAATCATGACTTTCCCCTAAATTCTGTCACATTCAAAACATAAAAATTATACTTTTACTTCTTTACTTTAAAATGTAACTTTGTTACATTTTACAAATGCAAATAACCAGAACTCATCATGAAAGGAGTTGTTTATKCAAGTGTCAAATTAAACTAAACCAAGTTGAATAAATGTAAAGCAATTTACACATCTACTTTTAATTAAAATATATAAGTTTAGTAAATTTAGCACTTCCTTTCTTGGAGTGTGGGTAAAAGTACGTTTACTTTCCTGATTATTGTGAGCCGTTTTATGATTTTTATTGAAGTATTTTTCTTACCAGTGAAATTCATTTTGGCCCAAGTCATTTAGTACTAGGGATGCACCAATATGAAAATTTCAGCCAGTACTGATATCCGATATTATTAATGGTGTTATGGCTGATAACCGACATTACACAAATTATTTATATACATACACACACAAATACACACGTCTTTTTTCAATATTGTAAAAAAACAAGACTGCTGACATGGCTCTCTACTTCATTTAATGCTGGTTACGCAGCATCACTATCACCATGAACAGATACCACTCGACCAAACATCGCCCCTCCTGAAACAGAAACACAAAGCTAAAAACTGGGAAATCAATATCGGACATTAATATCAATATACTAAAAAAAATGACCAATATTGTCCGATACCGATGTTAATGCCGATATTTCGTGCATCCCTGCTTTTTACTTTTACTTAGTTATTTTTAAAGTACTTTACAAACCTCTGCTTGTCTAACAATTTTTCATGACTTAAAGCCATATTTTGTATTTGGTAAATTATCACATTCATTTACAAGTTCTCTAACACCTTACATTAAAGTGAAACTTCACACACTGGTGACACACTTCCCGGTGGGAACAGTTTGATCCGAAATGTTGATTATTTCCGTCCCACTGACTCTGACTCTGAGCGGCACTACCTGAGCACTGCAGCTCAGATGTGTGTTTAACTATCTCCCAGGAGAGTCAGAGAAACTACAGGAGATGACAGGCTTATGCATCACTTCCTCCCGCTCTGCGTCCTTGTCTTTTGTTTCACTGACAGGGGGATCCATTCAATCAAAACCTTTTGTATGTGTGTGTGTGTGTGTGTGTTCGGGTTACAGTGAAAACACAAAGCAGGTCTCATTTATGTTGAATGGGCAACATGATTCAGAGCTGTTAGAACAGTTTTTATTTTTCCCACCACATCCTTATTAAATGACACGAAGACTGCTGCTGATACTGATGCAAACAAAAGAAAGACAAAAAACAGAAGCTGAGATCTTTTAAATGAAGCAAACTCAGTGGTCCATGTTCAGAATGAGACGAGCCCATTCAAGCAGATGAGAGCGCGGCAGCAAACAAGAGCTAAAGCTATAAAAGGCTACGTGTTGACATTTCGTTTTTAGCACATTACATCTAATTGCACTCATCAATCTGGAGTTTCAAATAGCAAGAGCGCTGCTCAGGGACAGACAGATGCCCGCTTGGACATCAACAACRCAGATATACGAAGCCAACAATACACCAAAACTGGCTCGCTTTCTCTTACAGCAAAAACAGTCTGTAAATCTACAGGGAGCCTACACTCTTAGTTAAATACATCACTGTGTCTGCAGGCCCTGAGGAACATTACAGTATGTCTGCAGTTAATCTCACTTACAGTAGTCTGGCTAGAATAAAGACAAGAAAATCCTGCTGCCTTTGAAAAGCTGGACTGTTTGCAACAGAGCAGGAAGGAAACAGGAAGAATGTGTGCAATAATGAGGCTGAACAAAGAGCACTTTAAAACAGGCAGGGGATTCAATTCTGTGAGAAGATATATGTTGTTCATGAAGTCATCACATATATGCAATATACTGTGCAAATGTGTTATAGCTGCAGACTTTCAGGTAAACTAGCGGTTTTGATCACTCGAGTTCAGTCAGGTCGCTGTTCTTGATCATGTCAGAAWATTGTGAAGTGTCTAAAAGCTAAGGAACGTGGACAGGAAGAGGAGATCTTAAAAAACACACTATCTACAGCAGATGAACAAGATTTGAAAGTCATGTCTTTATGACCTGATGCGGGAGCTGAGAGATGCATCCTGCTTCAGTTGATTAGTAAATTTAGATTAATGTCCTGATGCATCTCAGTAATCCAGGTAGAAAAATCTAACAAAGCTAAGTCCAAATCTTCTCAAATTAAGTGAAATAATCTGCCAGTGCAGTAAGACAATCATACTTGCCAAGACTTCTTGAAATAAGGAAAACTGTCCAGGCTRATCACATTCTAATCTTACTTAGTATATCGTTTTTTTATACAGACTAAAAATACTTTTGGGCTGGATATAAAACTTGGTTAGATGGGCAATTTTTGCAGTGTAGATTTCCACTGGTTTGAGAGAGGAGTAAAGGAAGMCATTTTTGTGAGGAGAAACTGCCCGTTCTTAAYAGAAGTGAAGCCCCCAATTGTCCCCCTCTTACAATGCTGTTACAGAGTGTGACTCAGCCCTTTGTAAATGATAACCATTGGGACACTAGTGATSGGTCAGTAGGCGGAAGGTCCTCTTTTTTTTGCATATGAATAACCAGTTTTGGTTGGGACT